AAAAAAGAGAATGTGTTATTGGAATTACAGCCTATCAATTCAAATATGGAGATGTGGGTGACATTAAAAAATTTAGCCCATATATCATTTGGTACTTATGTTTCTGTTGGTATTTTAACAAAGGCTAAGATCACAAGCCTACTGTGAAGAGAATCTGGGGGACTAACAGCTGCTCATCTCTAATAGCAATCATGTAACTTGAGAAATGTCATTTTAATATTTTCAAGGAACAAAGGAAAACACTCTGATGACAAGGTAGGATATCTTAAACTGAGGAAGACCTAACACTCCCATGTGCAATATGTATCCTTTTCAAAAATCAAAACCTCGACATTTAAATCGGTCACATAACCATATCATCCTAAGCCTTCCCTTCAAACTCTCCAGCTACATTAAAAAAAAACAAAAAAAGTCAACTGGAACATCACCTAGAAAGGTAACAGACATAACTGTTTCTGGATTTGCTACATTTCAGGGTAGATCTGACAGCATCAACAGGTTAATGGGCAAAAGAGCAAAGTGCTAATTAAACCAAAAGCTTGTATTTCAAACCATTACAGTAAATCTGTATATTCAGTGTACAACTCCTTAAAGCCAGCAGGCTAGATCGGGTTAAAGAAAGACCAAATCCTATCACATTTAATGTTTCACATGCCTGATTAAGGTACATTTTTGAGTACTTCACTATTTTCCTCCACAGAAGCAAAATAATCTCTTCTACTGCTATTAAACACTCATAAAAGAACTGATTTTCAAATAAAAACATTCCAAAGGAAAATAAGTTATGTTTTAGGGTTTTCATATTAAATAAATTCTGTCCACCAAGAAGAATCAACGAAAGCAAGCTTACAGAATTTGAAGGTAATAAACTATAATGACTCCAAGTCTTTTTTTGTTTTAATTTTATTTTTCCTCCTAGTTACATGGGAGTCAGAAAATTTCTTTATTCTGCATTAAGGAGCAACTTATCCAAGGTAACTTCCTTCTGAAAAAATAAATTGAGCTTTTAATTACGATTGCATTTAGAATGCTTATATAGAACTTTTCTAACCTTCTTCCAGAGCAAAAATAGTTAAAATGTTTTAATTAATGCACTTTTCCTTGAGAAATATTTCCTTTAAAATGTTTTTAATATAACTCAACATTGGCTGCATCTTTCCTGACAGATGGTATTTCCTTAACAGAGAATGTCTCAAATGGTTTATGTATAACATTCTTTCTAAAATTCATTTCCTTTCTGTGTAAGAAGTTAATACACCAAGAAAAAAAAAACCAACAGGAATGTTTCATGCCATGTGGGATATAACAGTTCTAGAGTTTTGCTTTAAATTAGCCGACTAATGTTTTTGGAGAAATATTATTAACTTGGTTGAAGCTTAACATTTGGAAAACGGAAAAATACTTGCCCACAACTTTGCTTCTCTCCAGATCCCATTCCAACACGAACTTCGCTTTTATGTTCTACTCTTCAGTCCATGTCTGGTGGAAATCTGACAGGTCTTAGTAAGGTTCAACTTAGGGGAGAGATGTTAACTAGATGGTTGGTTTCTTCTTAAGAACAAGTGACTGACAGTTCCATAACAAGTATCTCCCAAACCAGAAATGAAAGCTCTTGATAACTTCACTCTAAACATTAAAATCACTCAAGACATTGAAATCAGCAGAAAAGCACAACATAACCCTTCTCAAAAGAAGGACAGACATTGAGGTCTCACAGAAGATACAACTCCAAAGGCCAGGCCACTCCTCCACACTAACACCAAAACACAAGTTCCGAAGAGCTGGGAGACTTGTACCAGCTGAACGCAGAAGAACTAAGGTTCCGCATGACAAAAAATCCTGGGAAATAGAATCTTTACAGGATATTGAGACCAAAGGCATTTGCTCTGCAGTTTGTAATACTTACTCCCTGTAAAGGTTGTAAACCCTTGGCTAAATTGCTGGAAAGCTACAGCAGCAACAGGAGTCTTCGAGTGATGAAGAAATACCTACAGACAATTTCCCTTTCCTCTTGTTATGCTATAAGCATTAATTAAAATATTACTCTATATAATTAATAACTAAGTACTTAAAAACTTAAGTACTCAAGTAAGTACTTACTAAGTCAATTAGCACTTACTAAGTACTTACTAACTGTAAGCAACTAATTACTCTATTATATTAGTCTGCCAGATCAGATAAATTTCAGTACTGCTGAAAATTTTCATTCTAAAATATTCTGCAGCCTATGCAACTCTATGTACAACAAAATTTTGCAATTACTATTTTCCATTTTTTGGGCATCACCTAGGTAGTATGTAAATTTGTGATACTTCTAGTAAACATTATCATCTGTATTAAAACTGTACATAGAGAATCCCTTGCACTGAAATCCAAAGCTATGACCAGAAAATCTTGCTCATATGTGACTGAAAGGACCAAACTTTACTAAATCCTCTAAACTCTTCATAAGGTTCTTTCTTCAATAAAAAATAAGTGCTATTAGTACGTTCTCAAAGATATCTACTGCACAAGGGTGCTGTGTATCATGTCATATTGTTCTTCAGTAGACTAGCCTATTGCAATTACTTTAACAAAAACCACATCATTTCAGCTATTTTTCCCTTTAGACAGAAGATAATATGTATTCCTATGTTTTCAACAACCATTTTAGCAATATGCCTATTGTGACCACTCAAGCCACATTCACTTCTGCCTATACCTAATTTCCATCCTTCCATAACTACAGAGCCATTGCCTCAATTTTACAGATCAGTCATCTCTCAAGGTCCTTTGATGACCTGCTGTAATAAGAACAGACATGAAAAAATAGCTCTTTGACCCTTGACATCTTTGCAGGCATTTGTCACTCAAAAACTGTTAAGGTGGTAGATAAGATAAACATGCTGCTTTTTTACTCACTGTCAGAATCTAAATAAGATGTGCCATTCAGTTCAAGTATTGTCTTAGAGTGTGATTCTTTTTATTGCTTAGTGGAGCTGACGCTGTCCAACATCTAACCCTGTATCCAACAGAGGTGCAAAACTAAACGCTTCTCAGTATTTATGAAAAAAATCAAGACTCTTTCTTCAGAGTACGACTGAGACACAAAAAGTGCAGTGCCCACCTTTAGTGCAACACATGTAAAAATATTCTTCAAGATATGTTTTTACAGAAATTATCATTCCAAGTAAATTGGAATTGGAAGTATCTAAAGACAGAACCATTCACCACAAAATAATGAAATATCAATTTTGTAATGAATAGTAGACCCAGGGAAATAGTAGATACTGTAAGGATTTCATTTAAAACTTGGTATTCAAGTGAAAATTCAAACCCAATGTTCCTAATAAAAGAACACACTTCTCTGAGCAAAGCCATAATTTTGGGAGAGACACACCCTTTGTCACTTCCAATGGTTAGAAACAGACGAGTCTGCAAAAGATTTATTGTAAATCACATTGACATACAAGTATTTTTCTAAGGAAACTTTAGTGCAAAATGTATCCATCTGATGGAGAAAGCAAAAAATGCAGCAAGACCAATCCTTTTCTGAAACAGTCTATTTCCAAAGGTTAGAAAGATCAAACATAACCAGAACATTACATTCCATCTTCCTAGACAGTCTGCGATTATTTAAGAGAGATTAAAACAAACCAACACCCCCTTCCCAAATGTGAAAGGCATGCCAATTCCCAGAACACTAACTGTTTCCACTATCTGATGATGAATTACACATAAATAGTTCACTGGCAGTGCATCATTTTTACTTGTCCCAAGGACAAATGCACTGACCTGGGCAAGAGACCTTAAAAGAAATTGCTAAAACTGTTTTATTTTTAAGGGAACTCACTAGTTAAGTTGACAGATTAAGCATTGTTTTCACATGGAAGAGGGAAGATCAGAAGAAAGCTACTGTCTATGCAGGAGGCTGATAGGAAATTATTAGCCTTACCTTACCAGAATCTATGTGTTGGCTCAATAACCTTGAGTGGTATTACTTCACACTTCTTAAAATATTGTACTCAAGAAAAAGAGGTTTTCCACGAGTGGAGAGTTAAAAAAAAAAAAAAAAAAAAAAAATTAAAAAATAAACTGGCTCTCAGCAGACTTAACAGGTAAGTATTTCTTCTATTTGTTTTGCTCTTTGAGAAACTTTTTGTAGTTTTCCTTGGCTTTGTTAAAGAACCTAGCAATGACTTCCCTGGCGCACATGGCCTCTAACTCCAGCTGATACACAATCCCAAAAATTTACACAGCAGAACCAGAAACAAGCTCCAAGTTCTGACCATAGCCTGGAAGCCCATTTGCAGCTTGGCTCACTTTGAAAAGTTATCTTCCATGGATAGGCATGTAGTCACCACTGTCTCCTGGCTTACCACACCAGAAGAGTTAAAAGCTGTTTTTCATGAGCACAAAGCATGTAACTGCTATTCAGTGAGCAGAATGATTGAGAAATTCCCACTGTATCACATGAATTCTGGGGAAGAGTTAGTCCTGTTCATGGGAAAAAAAGGTTGAGTGAAATTAAAAAGTGTTTGTTTCACTTAAGTTTCTCAAAAGCAACAGCAGCAATTAGAAAAAAAAGGTACGCTTTACCACTCATTAATAAATTTGTTATTGCTTATTCTTCCTATAGTACTAACAGCTTTTTCAAAACCATTGTTCTTGGCATTTTAGCAGATCACTAAAGTCACAGTAACAAATGTGATCTTGACAGCAAATCAGCTGAACAGATGCCATGATTACTGTAAGTATTAAAAACTAGAAGGATCTAGTCCTTCTAGTATCTGAATAACAAAATTAAGCATCTGAAAAACTAAGTAAGCTTTCTCACAGTTCCATGTCCAAACCAGGACAGAATTTTTTTCGACATTATTTTCATCTGAGAAACAGTGTATCTAAGGTTACCAGCACATCTCCTGTAAAAACACCCTGCATTCCATATAATGGAAATCCACAGAACTCATCATTCTCTTACATTTGTCTTCACATTTCTCTGTGAAAGGTATTCACTCTACCTGCGATCAGAAGAAATGGTCTATCTGGAGAGAAGCCTGCTGACAGATTGACTCCCTTGATCTCTGAACACTCTGCCAACAGGAAAACTTTCTGGGTACAGCAAAGACCTTTTCTCCTGCATTTGGGTAAAAAACAGTGATATAAGATTGGTAACAATTTTGGGGGTTTTTTTGCTTGTGAGTTTTCTTAATATTTTTCTAGAAACTGAAACTACCAAATGTTTAGCAGTAACTCAGAGAGTTGTAATAGCCACCTGACAGACACAATTCAGACTCCTTCCCACTTCTGTGTGGGAATATACACAATGTAGCCTATCCTCTACACAAAGCTTTACACTTGCTATACATCTATTTACAACTTTACCTCACCAACTGAAAATGGTAACTATACCCTGCCTGAAGATGTACAAGATGATCAATGAAAACTTCAGTAATCTCCACAACAATGCTTGCAGGGAAGTCTGGAAAAACCGTGGCATTTTACTTTGTTTTGATGTTGTAATTTAGCTCTTGATGAGCGGAATTTACAGCTACCTTTCAAATTTCAGAAGCACAGCATGAACTGCTTTCAGTGGTATTTCTTACAAAGAGACTACTAGTATCATCATATTTGAGCCTGTCTATAAACATTTTTTGCAAACAAATTGCAAAAACACTTCAAAAGCATTAATCAGCTAAAAAACCCATTAATTTCTGCATACATTTTTCTACATAAGTTAAATCACATTAGGAGAACATACTTTTTAAAAGATGGCTTGAGCTAATTTTAAAGATGGTTGGAAAAGTTTGGCCTATGCTGATTAAAATCTATACTTAAATGAAAGGAAAATTTAACCACAGAAACTGTTCTCATTTTAGAAAAACAAGCATATCACTGCCAAAGTGCTGTCCTAAGTTTAGATTGCTGTCTGACTAAAACATTATAATTATGAGAAACTGAAATGGATTTCTAAATGTTTCAAGATGAAACAGCCATTGGGTAATTTGCAAGATATGCAATTATCTTCTGAATTCAAAACACATAATGCTAATACTTGCTCCAAACAAATGAAGGCTGCAGAGCGCTGCTTGTGTGAAGACTGGGGAAATCAATGTTAAACATCAATATCAACACTAGATAAGAGTAATGAAATCTAAGAGCAAAATTACCAAGTGATGTGGAATTAATTACTTAAAGAATTTTCTTTGAGGGAAAAAAAAAAAAAAGTCATGGAATCTTTTATCTGTTGCTTCTGTCTCTCAAAGAGCTGATCAAGCTGAACAGATGATTTTCAGCACTTTTATCACTGTTAAAACTGCACCAGTGGTCACACGAGGCATTTCACCCAAGTTCCCACGTGTAGCAAGGCAGTGACATTTTTACCTTCAAACACCAGAGAGGGTCTTCCAAAGAGATATTTGGGTGGAATGATTATCATACTGACCACACAAAAATTAAAAGGAAACAAAAATTAAACAGAATCACACACTAACCCCAGATCTGTTTGTTAATGTCATGTATAACCATTGTGAATTCCAGTTACTTTTGAACAGTAAGTTAAATCTTGACCTGCAACAATCATTAGCAGTTTGATGCAACTTAGAGGTTTCCAGAAAGTCAAAGTAACTCCATTACTGTTTAAAAATTATGACTGCAGGTACTTGTCAGTACCTGCACTGTCTTTCATTGTTTGCCTTTAATTTAGCAAGAAAAACTAATGGCTTGGTTGTGTTTTATTTCTTGGTCTCCTTTAAAAGCCTGGGTGTTTGGTTATCTTTTGACTCTTCTGACTGCAATCCAGCCTCTTGTTTCACTGATTTGGTGAACAATCTGTCATTCATATATGAAAGCACCAAGGGATTGTGAGCATGTCTAGGGACACAGCAGTTCATAGGAACATCGTAAATCAAACAGTAATTTTAAAAAGGACTAGAGAAATTTTTCAAAAAAAATTAATTCTCTTTCTACAAGCAGCATGTGGTGATCCACATAACTGCTTCATATAGACTCTTAAGGCAGTCTCTTCATTTAGCCTTCATGGCACCTCTGAAGCTGCCATCAAAAGAAAAGAGCAAACAGATTTCTCTCAACCATAAGAGATGCTGGATGCCTTAAAAATAACAAAATCATTGTAAGCTTAATGAGAAAGCACCTGAGATTAAGCAATACTTTCGGAACCACTGCAATGAAAGCAATATCTACTCTCTTGATACCTAAGATAACATCAATAGCAGGTTTTATACCAAAGGATGCCCAAAACAAGCTCCTCAAGAGTCATAGGAGTTTCTGTATCACAGATGCAAAATCTTGGAAGAGCACACTTAAAAGCAAGGTGAAAAAAAGCAGGGGGGAATCACCTAAGCCTATTGTCAGATTAAAGGCAAACTCAAACTCAAGAAAAGATAGTGTGTGAACACAGTGAAGCAATTACTTTTGTACTGACAAGTAAAGACTCTCCCAGTTTTTAACGCCCAAGCATACAAGAAACCCTAATAAAACCAAATCAAATTAAGTAAATTAAATTCACTTTATTCAAGTTCAGAAGTAAACTAGCTCAGCTAAGAGAAAAAGATGTAGAAAAAGGAGAGACACCTTGTCTGTGTTTCAAGATTTCTGCTAACACAGCTCTCTTGTATCTCACTGTGCCCTGCAGCAGCAGCAGCAGCAATGGACTTTACAGTGCAGAACTGCCTTTCAGGAGCAATTTATTTTTTTGGCCAAGTCAACAAATAGTGAATTCAAACTGCAAGCCTTTGCCCACACTCAGCTGGGACCTGTTTAAAAAAGGCAACTCTCTAAAGGTTCCATCTCCCTCCCTCTTAGCTCTGAGTGCAGACCAAACACCACGCACAGAACAAAAACAAGGCAGCTCTCCTCAGGCCATTTCTAATAAAACATTAAATCAAACTATGGAAATCAATACCTCATACAGAACATGAGGAATCTTGTTTGTGCATTCTCAGCATCACAACCTGAAGAAATAAGGGGAAAAGGAAGGGGCGGCCCTGAACAAGACTAAGTGGAGAACAGGAGAATGAAATAAGGAAAGAAGGATAGATCATTTGTAAATGATGACTAGATAGGAGGAAAGCAAAATTGACAGAAAAACTCTGCATGTCCCAAGAAGCTGGAAGAAGCAGCCAACAAAAGTAAAAAATGTGTTTTGGCAAAGCAGAGTTGGGAGGAGTAAGGGGTAGCAGCACACTGAAGGACGGGACAAGTGGCAGGAAAGAAAAGATGTATGAGACTGTTTAGACAAAAATTAAGAGAAGGAAACTCTATAGGGAAAAGTCTTGGACGGAATCAGATAGAAAGCCAGCAGAAGGACAAGAGGATTTATACCTGAGATAGTTCAGATGATTAAGAATCTAAGAATTAAGAATCTGGATTTACTAAAAATAGCTGCTGAAGAAGTAGAGACGCTGTAGGAACAGATGAAACATATGCCACCTGAGTAACTCAGAAAGGGTTCCTTGATCCAGCAAATCCTAACACCACCAAAATCCTAAATCCAGCAAAATCCAGCAAATCTCAACCCCAGGTGGGTGTGAAGAAGACACCTTACTACACTTCCAATTTTCTTTTCAGATTGCTTTTGTGAAGAGGGCAGGCAACTCCATGAAAGCAGAATTCATCAAGGCTGAGGAGTTGGACCATATCAGAATCAAGGTTTCCCTGCACAACTTCAGTGTGGCTTTTACAGCAGGGTACAATATTATCTTTCCTTCAAAATTCTGCCCCACTGAGTGCATATGGTGGACCAGCCCCTGAGATTGAAAGAAGGCTTTGTAGGTGACTTCCCTCTTTCAGCACAGAAACACTTTGCCAAGCAGCGAACAGAGAAAATACTCTGGAAAGAGTCCTTCCCTTCACTCTTACCACATATTCCCTGCACATGGCTGACTTTTTTTTTAATTGAAGCTTTTCAGAAGTTTCAAGTATAGTTCCGATTTTCTGAATGACCAACTTGAGATTTGGTTTCTCAAGGTACAGCTTCACATTGTACTTGACCCATAGCTGGTTTATATTAGGGCAGAAGGAGAAGCAGCTTTCATTCATATCAGAGCAAACACGCCCTAGAATAGCTTCCATCTGACAGAAAGCCATCCCCATAAAACTGTTAGATCAACTGTCCCTGAAATCATCCAACCACTAAATCCACTACAAAGACAGTAGCAATAACTCATGGCCAGTGATGGCAAAGGAGTGAGACCACACTCCTCAGCTGCAGCCCACACACTGACCAAACTATGTATTCACATGTTAAAGTGTACCTTGATTTGCTGAGGAGTCAGACAGTACAGCTGCCACTGCAGCTTTGCATTCAGAGCATTAGATAATACCATAAAACATTATTACAAACTCAACCAACTCATTTTAGATTTCTGTGTTCAATTTAAGACATACTTTGGCTTTCTGGTTTTTACCCTCGTTTCCCCATTTCATAAAGCAGGAAGGTGGGCGGGGAATCCATCTGTTAATCTCTGCGTTACAGTGGAATAAGTTTATGCCTGAGAAACATTAAAATATTGCTGTACCTATTACTGAAAAGTCCAATTTATAAAGCAAGAAGAAGGATGGGGAGGGGGGGAACCCATCTGTTAGTCTCTTGCAGCAGAATAAGCTTATGCTTGAGAAACATTAAAATATTGCTGTGGTATCTCCTACTGAAAAGTCCAGTGGTGCAAAAGCAGAGACTGGGTGGTGTCTTGAACAGAACAGCCAGCTGCTATGAAGTAAGTGAGAAACAGTGATACTTTCAATCAATAAGCTAAATACACTACCCATCAGTGTAGTCCACACTGTGCACTGGTATAAGTATAGACTAAAAAAGTCCAGTGACCACCAAGAACAGTGAATACACATAAGCGCCAACATGAAGTTACACACATAGTTTAACTCCAGTATTTATTTTTATTATGCAGCTCCTTGCAGACACAGCTATGTCCCGAACAGCCCAGTTGTGCAAAGCTACAAGCCTTGTTCTGATACCCACCCTGCACTTCTTACACAAGAGACCATTCAGGTCAAAGTTTAGCTTTGCCAGAGGGCACAGCGAGCCCAGACAGCAGCACATGCCAACACTAACGGGAAAAATGACACAGTAACCAGGGAAAACCACCCAGCTACAGCTGGAAAAAACCTGACTGACTTCTGTGTACGTGCAGGTCTAAACAAGAGACTCCACTTTTCCCAACAGGAAAAATTTTAAGGATGAGACTATAGCAACAGGCCTCCGTTTATTCTTTCAAGTGCAACAAAAACAGCAGCACTGAAACCGAGGTTTTGGGTACCGTACACGTCTCACACACGCGCAACGCCTCCGCAGACAGGCTCAGGGGCTCTCCTCCATCGCCGCGGCTCCCGCCCTCCTACAGCGTGGCGACCATGCCTGGAGAGAAACGGGAGGCGGGTGAGAGCCCGGCGGGCGAGAACGAACCGGCGAGGCCAGAGCAACGGCGGAGCCCTGGAGCCGCTGCCACCGCCAGCACCGCGGCCCGGCCCCCCCCTCCCTTCCTCACCTGGGACGGGGCAGCGCCGCGGCGGGGGGAGCTCAGGGAGCCGCCGGGCCGCCGCCATCGCCCATCGGCGCCAGGGCCGCCGCCATGTTCGCGCGGCCTCTGACCCGGACCACTTCCGGTCACGGCTGTCACGCCGTTGCCATGGCAACGCCCCTGGACCGGCCTCCCTTAAAGGGACCCTGCGGGGCTCTTGCGGCCCCGGCCTGTCTGGAGAGGGGGGCTCGGAAGAGTCTTTTGGGGTACACGGAGCCGTGGTGCCGCTGCCCGGGGGCTTTGGCACTAGGGAAGGCAAAGCACTCGTCTCAATTTAGTTACCAGCTGAAAAGGGATAGTGATTCATCAGCCCCACGGCGCTGCACGAAGGGGAAAACCCTACTACTGTTTAGCTGTGGAATTTGTCATAAAATAGCTTGTCGGGTGTGAGAGCAGTGGAAAGCGACCATGGCATGATTTCCACTGCCGTGAGGAGATGATTTCTCTTTAACTTTCCCCCGAAACGGGGTGTATTTTCAGCTTTTATTGCACAGCCTTTACCGCCACTCACTGTTGATGCAATTAACCCCTTTATACTCTTTCCACATGCATAGTTTTATAAGTAAACAAACGTGGTGAAACCCCCAATCCAAGAAGGGAAACTCCAGGAGGTTTTAAGTAAAGTTTTATGTTTGCGTAAAGCCAAAGTGAGTCCATGCCTGGCTGACAAGCGCTGTTGGAATAGGACCAAAGCAACCAGACCTCTCTGACCCTACAACAATTTCACATGCACAGACAAACATGCCCCTCTGCAAAACTACTGTAAAGTGCAAATACCAAGGCAGAACCTGATCCCATACCCATTTAGGGATATATTGCCCTGCAGTCACTCCCCTGGTGGGATCCCTCTTTTCCACTGCAGTTAGTTTTGAGAACAACATTGTCTCTTCTGATGTGCCATCATCCAGTGAGAATCCATTGCCCTAAAGAGTACCTTCGCAGAGCTGAGAACCAGTCATCAATTTGGTCAATGCTTGAAATACAAAAAAAAAAAAAAAAGTAGGGAATGAACCTTTGGGTTAATTTGTCCTAAAGGTCATAACGATGTTGGAAATTCCACTGTCATCCCTTTTCAAGGGATCTTATTTGTTCCTTCAACCTGGAGGAGTAGGGGCTAAGGCAACTTAGCACGTTAGTTGCCTTCCACTGGTGGAAGGCTGTTGAGAAAGTGGAACCAGACTCTTCTCAGAGGTACACAGCAAAGAAATGAGAGGCACTGATCCCACGTTCCAGCAAGAGAAATCCCAATTAGTTAGTAGGAAGGAATTCTTCAAAATAAGAGTGGTCAAGCACTGGAACAGGCTTCCCGAAGACCTTGTGCAATCTCAAAACCTCAAAAAAGTGAAAGTACCAATAGCATCCCAAATCCTTCAAAATGCCTTAGCTGAAGAGACAAAGACAAGTCCCTGTTAGATCACACTGCCTCTTGTGTCAGGAGGCTGTTTGTTGTGTGATTCACCTCAGCTGACTTCTGCTAACTAGGAAACAGGCATTTAGTCAGACTTAGTCACCAAGGTTCCCTCCTCTAGGCAGCTCCAAAAAGTGATTTGTTCCATCCCAAATTGGATGTCTAAAACAGCTCAGCACACAGTGAGCTGAAATGGCTCACCTTGGGATCGCTCTTGCTGATGACATAAAGCTTGGTGAAATGAATCCTCACTGGTGCCTCATGAAAATAAGGACAAAAGGAAGGCAAACTGCTGAATTTTAAATAGCCAAGCATAAGAACTTAGGATGAAAGACATAACACTGGAAGAATGTCTCCAGGGGTAACATGTGTTGTGGGCTGTCAGCTACAGACTTGAGGCCAGGCTTCCGGGTAGCCTCAGAAATTTGAATGGAAATAGGGAGTCTGCAGTGATGGCATCTGATTTAGGCCTCCTGGCACAACCCTGCAATGCTAAATGGAAAGCTGTCCCCATATTATTACTGCTGTTGTCTACAAAGGCAAGTGGGTGAAACTGCAGTCATATCTGTGTGTGGCTTTTGGTGTTTGTAACGTAGGGCAGTTACAGCTCTTTTCATTAGTTTGATGAACTGATAATAGGCAAAAGTGCATATGGCTAATTGTCTCTTGGGTTGAAGCTCTCTGTATGGTAGAAATCCATGCTAAAATGGGTTAATAAAATCTTGAAAAAGATTTTGTAATTGGAGAGCTAAGTAAGGAGCTTTGGCGCACTGTACACCAGAACACAGGCCAGAATCTTACTGCAGCTCATTCTCTGGCACTTCCAGATCTGGACAGATCACTTCACTCTCCTATCAGTGTAGTAGGAATAATAACACTTTCCTCTTGCTGAGAGTGCTGTCAGGAGACAGTAATCAAAGTTTGCAATTTTATTAGAAAATGTGAAAAACTGTACAACTCTCCTTCTTACAGTGCCAACACCTGGCTATACAAACTTCTAGTTAAGATATTTTACTTACAACTGCAGAGAAAACAATTTAATAAGATAGACTATAATGAGTGTGTTCCTGTTTTTCTTAAGCACCCCAAAGCAATTTTGTACTTTTTGTAGATAAATCATTTTGTCTATCACATCGACATGCAGCCAGCTGAAGAAGAACATGACATCTTTTCAAGCATTCACGATAGCACTCTATTAGAAAATACAAAGGCAAATTTAATTTTCAGTTGCAACTACACAGGCAAAGTAGATAAGCACCTTGTGCTTTATAGTGACACACTTAATGCTGAACTTGTGTGAGGTGAGTTAGTGTAACCGTTTTGTTAGAAAGCAAAAAGTCTGCTCAAGAAAAATATAGGCATTCATAATGCCCCTACAGTTTTTGTGAAAGTGGAAAGTACAATTTCTACAGCCAAAGACAACAGTGAGGGGAAGAAAAGAATGTTCAGTATTCAGCAAAAAGGAAGAATTCGGCTGACTGGAAATGTATGTGCATTTTAGAAGGTTTTCTTAAAATAATATTAAGGTACTGGCTTTACCTCCACAAAAATAATGCCATTTGACACTGAAGTCAAGCTTTCAACGTGTTTGAAATAAAACAATATAGGTTTAATTTAGCCACAAAACAATTCCTGTGGGCAGAGCTGGAAGCAGTAAGGCCTGATTCCCAATAGACTTGCTCCCTGTCTGTCAGCCCATCTCCATCTCTGCTGCATTAATTTTGTCTCCTTCCTACACCGTGGATAACGTCTCCACAAAGCAAGAAGCAATAGGTGTGGGTTGGCCAGCGAGTACCAGCTGCCAAGAGAAACAATAATGTTTGTTCAGTTGGGGCATGAATTTAGTTCTTGCTCCTCTGTTGAACTGTCTGTATTAACAGATCTTGTAGGAGCATGATTGTTTCTGAGACTTCTACCTTTCTGCCCTTCCACCAAATTTGAGTGAAATTTGTCAGAAAGTTTCAAAAGATTTTGGAGGGGGAAACTTGTAGCCAGACTAAAAAGCAGCATGGCCTCATAGGTGATATTTATGTGAAAAAACAGACTGAAAAGCTCAAAAGTTGACTACAGTGGTGGTGGTGGGAGGGTCAGAATAAATTAAAACCTTTCTGCGAGGGGGTGAAATTAAAAATTATTGAGATTTTTGAAGTTGTGCTGACACCTGAGAGATAGAAAATGAAAACAGAAAATTATGCAAGTGGATTATCCATCCACTGACAGGACTTGGAAATATATGGAATGAAGAATTTAACATGTTGATAGCAACACAGGAAAAAGAATTTTTTTGCTATAGCTGGGGTAAGCTTTACAAAACATTTTTTGGTTGTATGATTTGTAGTGGGACCTCTCCATTCCTCTTCTGTTGGCATAGCTCAGCTGGATGACAAGAGGCATCATGGAGCTCATAGCAAGCTGCTTAGAGGGGAGACAGAGAAGAGGGAAAGCATTTGAAACCAGTGTCACTAACAACAGCAATATGCCTAAGACATTTTGGTTTCTAATTGCTATTGCTTAGTTCTGTATTTTACTTGTAGACTAAGTCCCCTTGGGGCCTATATCTGAGCTGAGGGAGTGATAGACTATGTGACACTCAAAGGAAAGAAAAGATAAGCAATATGGAAAATATCTTTAAGCTTCCAGTCACGCCTCCCTAGAAGTGCCAAAAAGCAGCAGAAAGATAACTCATGTTCTCCTGTTCCTTGGAAAAGCCTCAATCACTTGAATAAAGAGACTTGCTGGGAGCTCTTGTCGCTAAGTGGCCTGGACTGTGCTTGCATCAAATGGTTTTCAAATTGTGACCCAAAAGCTACTTATGGATCTGCTGTTCACATGGCTGTTTCCACCTCCTAAATCTCATCAGGATGTGTTAAATGCTTTCCTAATGGTCCTATGCCATGTAAACAATTGCAAAATTAGCCCCAGAGATGTTGTTAAATGGTAAATTAGAGTGGAAGCAGAGGAAGAGGAAAGGATTGAACGACAGAAAGGGAAAAATGAGGAAGGGTCATAAATGCAAGAGGTGAGAGGTCACAAGGTGTATTCCCTAAAGACCTCTGCCCCAGAGAGCAGGGCAGATGTGATCATTAGGGCCTCTCCTGTGTTTACTCATTGAACACTTTAGGATGGCTCTGCCCTAACACCGTGCTCTCCCCTAACAATCCTCATATAGCTCATTTGCTGATACTGCCATTCTCCACATCCATCTGGGTTTTTCCTCTCTCTTGGGTTTGCTAAGCAAATTTCACTGCCTGTGAGAAGAGCTAAGTTATTTGATGTCTGGATCACTCACCTTCTCGCCTCCATTTCGCTACTTCTCTGGAGAATTCAAGATAAGGATATGATAAGCCCACAAAAGGCTTTTCACCTCTCCATCTGGTTGCAAAGAAAATCAGATATCTGAGCCTACATACCCTCTTAGGTGTGGAAATTTTCTAACTGTTCATAACATGCCAAAGCTGCACTTGTTAATTTTTTTTCCAGAAACAGCAGAAGTAGAGAAGGGGCCTTGACTCAAAGGGTATCAGCACAGCAGTGAATAGAGATTACCGTCACCAAATCAAAACAGGGGAGGCAGTGACAGCATGGAAAGCTTGCACTGCTTTAAGCTGGTATAATATTACTTGTGCCTCTAAGGTAGGTGTATATCTCTGGAG